CTACCAGCCGCGGCGTTCGGAACCGCGTTGCTGTGGCGACTTGAGAAGGGTCTCTAACATTTGAACGTCGACTGAATAAAATAAGACATGATGCGACTCCGTCTACAAAAGAGCGTTAATCGATTTTCGTGGTCAGTAACCATCTTCACTCACGGGAGTTCATTACGCCCACCACACATCAGTATGTTCACCGATTCAAAAGAAATGGAATGTTGAGTACGATTCTTCGTTTCTTCATGAAATATCTCAAATAGCTGGCCAACAACGTATTGCTGGCTTTTATCTCGACATTTGATAATCGTTTTTAAAATTTGAAATAATGTTCATTAAGAAAAGGTCTGGAATTTTTTCCCACCCTACAAGAAACTATACATAACGCACGTAAATTTCCATAGGTCGGCAACAAAAAAACAACCAAATTTCATGAAAAAAATATTGTAGCAGATAAGTTTCACTACCACCAGAACTGAGGCATTTGACATACCGTAGGATCAGTATTTGTATCCGTGTGTCGTAGAATTCTGCCGCCTGGGATAAGAACCCGTGTTTGACACTCACCTGCAACTCTCAGTCACTAGATGCGCATTTTGGTAAGCGGAGAGGAAGTTCGGGAGGTGTAAGAAATTCTTCGAATAGTAATTAACGGCCGTCACTCCACATTAAAGCCCTAAAGTAAGGTCTTCAAAACTGCAGCCCCTTGATATATAAGCAACACAAATCTCCACAAAGACCTAGCCATAGACCCGTCCTCACGTATATCATCGAACTTTCTCATACATTCTTCCAAAATCTACCGTCAGTGACCGGTAAATCTCATTTCAATCTACGTAATGAGTGTCCCGTAGAAACTCGCCTGCGTAACCGATTCCCCTTTCACATCTTCTTCAGTAATCTGGCTGATATTAGATAATGAAATTAATACTCCTCCCACCAACAGTCAACAATATGTACTCCCCCACTCCAATAATCGCACTGCTTCATTCTAATGTTTAAAGGAGGGTCGCCGTAGCCACCCCTTCGCATCTTTTCGTCTGAAAGTGCTCGCTCCTAACAACTGAAACGCCGTATGGCTCAGCGTTGAACAATCACCCCGTTCTGCAATAAATGTATAAGTAAAAAAATGCGTAAGAACACTGGTGGTTGGTCCTATTGTCGGGCACTGTCGGACCTCTCAACAGGGTTACAGCAGATCCGCTGCAAGAAGGTGTTCGACGCAACGTCCTTTTGCCCCCCCCCCCAAGCGATTTTCGTCTTTTTGTACACCTCGAAAAATTCCTATCCCGTCAGCATTTCGCTTATGGCAGTGACGCAGAGATGCTGGTATCTGTTAAACACTGGCACCTAACCCAGGCGGCAGACGTCTACGACACAGAAATACAAATGTGGATCCCACGATAAGAAAAATGTCTCAATTCTGGTGATGTTTATGTGGAGAAACATTGCAACTGTGTAGTATCTGCTCCAATTTGTTTATTAAAATTGTGTTTTATTTTGTAGATGGCCTAAGGAAATTTACTTTCTGGGTCGCCTAGCATTTTATTCAATATATGAAGGTGATCCAAAAAAGTAACTTAGGATTTGAAATTTAAAACATAATTGAATGAAGCAAAGACATTGGAAATACATATACGCCGGGTTTGCGAGCTAGATCTTCATCGCTGGAAAGAGGTGGTAATCACTCGGCGTCAATTGCGGTCCGTACAGTGAATGTTCCACAACCTCCCATCCAAGAGCTCTCGGGCACGATTAGCCGTGAGTGGACGTGCATTGTCACCAAAAAATAACACTTTTGAGCCGCTTTTCCCAGCGCTTGTTTTGTATCGCTCTCCCTAGTTTTGTCAAATCGTCACTGTCAAATTAAATGTGGAAGGATATTAAATCAGAGACTTTAAAATCCTCGATGGCTTGTGAACGACGTATTAACATCGATGTTTTAATTTTGAGCGTCAATGTATGGCTACATGGATGTTTCGTTCGTTAATGTCGCATCTCTTCCGCAGGTGGCGCCGGGGCAATCCCGGCCTGTGGCGCGGGCGCGGGCCAGGGGGCTGTGCGCATGCGCAGATGCCGCGCTAGTGGACGACGACCACGCGCCGCCGCATTTGGCCCAGCGCCTTACCTCGTCGCCTCGCCGCGTTGCGCTGAAATCTTTGATTCACTGTAAGGTGACCCTGCCCCTTTTTTAGCGCGCCATTCATGAATTTTCACATTCTGCCTCTTTTCTTTCTAGAAAATGCGTCGACAATCTATTTGTCCGGATTAAATAAATATTTTACGGTACGTGTGAATGGGGAAAGGAGTAGTTACTTTGAAACTTCTGGTCGTGTCAAGTACACAATTCAGTTGGTTTTAAAAAATAACATTTTTTGCAATATTTCGTGCAGGTTTAACTGCGTCATTTCGCATCTTCTGAGCCTTCAAAACTTTGTGGCTTAATTTTTACTTTCTCGTACGCGTAGTATATACGGAGTATGTACGTTGTGTACAGAAAGTAACGACATGCTACATAAAATCTACGTCGAGATATTGACGGAAATATAAGTTTTGAGGGCCCCAAATACCGAAAAATAGTTTTTTCGGACCGTCCGTCAGTCAACAACACTACAGCATCAACAGTACATTTGATTCTCAAGAAAGTGAATACTTCCAGATCGACCTGGCTCAATACGATAACCTGCGAATTTGAAACTGATCTTTTAATTTTGGGAGGTTCATGACATGGATCTTCTAAGCCATTTTCTAACTTTTATCAAAACGTTCTCTAAATGTTGTGTATATTTAAGAGTTTTGCTCGAATTGTGCAAAGTGCTTTAGAAAATGTCGCTGATCCGATTTTCATGAACACCTCTGCATTTTCGAAAATTAAAAAAGTTTTATAATATTTTGACTTCTTCCACAGCTTGAAGATTTTTTTTTCTGAGTGAAATTTGTTCTTCAAAATTTTAATCCTTTTTATGAGTTTCAACGTTGTAGGCGAATGTTGTTGAGTAGCGTCGTGACAGTTTTGCATCTTAGATGTTAGAAACACTCCATTCATTGTAGCAGCCGATCACAAAAACTGTGGTAGTACACATAAGAAAGATTCTTGCTTGAGGACTTTAGCACTAAAGTTCAAATATCAGCTGGAGCAATTAAGGTTTTGTAAGAACAGAACACACAACATTGAATTCAAAGGCAAATAACTCATTTTTCATTTAAACGTTTGAATTGAAGAGGTCGGGAGAACGTACTACTCACCCACATGTTTATAATTTTTGTCAGAGGAAAAACATAGTTTTAGAACAATAAGACATATCTTATTTTCTATGTACACTTCTGGCTGCTTTCTACTCACATACTGTAGTTCTATGAACTAATTTGTTCAGCATTTTGATCATAATGTTTGTTTTTAGGAGACATTCTAAGACTTTTGGGGTTGGATTTATGAAATGAGGGTTAGCCCTATCTTCTCCAGACCCTTTCAATTTTCCGAAAATTAAAGATGTATTTTTATCATATTTATGATATATTTTTACCAGACCAATATTAATCATTGTCCATCAGGTTGTGACTTCTCCCAACCTGGCTTTTCTCAGCTAACTTAGGATCGTGCAACTCCTAAAACTCTTTCTTCCATCCCACGCAACTCCCACGCCCCCCGCGCTGCGCAGAGACGCACGCCGCAAAGTCTCAATTCCTGCAAATGGTCCTACATTTTGGGGAAGCTCTAATCAGACCTGCAATCATTAGTCGCTCTCATCGAAATGTATGACAACAAACAATGCTTATAATCGCTATTTTATTCAAATGTGGCACGGTAATTTTCGTTTTCTGACAAGAGAGATATGAAATACCTGGTAGCAAGCTTTTATGAGCATTTATTCGTTTATTCTAAAATTTAAAATTGTACAACGCTCTTAAATAAATGCTTCAACAGTATTACAATATTGTTTTGCATCTTTAATACGAAAAACACATTTTAAAACATGAAAATTATAGTATTTATTTTAAACTATACATACATTTATGTTCCAAGAAATATTTTTGCATAAAGGTGTTAGACACATAGTTAGATTGGTACGAGCTCCGGCGAATCGACTTATATATCAGTTCAATCACTTTTGATTTGTATTTTTAAGCTTGTACGCATTTTAAAAATGTTTGTGAATAAATTACATTGTATTTTGCAGCAATAAACGAACAGATGAGTATTTATAATCACCCTCACTATAAAAATGCATTAAATCTTCCTATATATGCATGATGTTAAGAACAACCATTACTACTCTACTCAATATTTTATTTCATTCGTCTATATCTGCATTACAGTTCCCAACTTCCTAAAAATGACCTCTAGACAAGAAAAAAAGATGTGAAAGACAAATAGAATATAGACCTACGTCCCCACCTCTGAATTTAGCAAACTCAATGAAAAAGTTAACAGGTTCACTCTGAAATAAAATATACTCCAATACATTTTTCTTAAATTACATTAACTGATGATACCTCAGAAGCCATGCACTTCAATTTGTTATGGGCACCGTCTTAATAGATCATTTGAAGTCATATCAAAAGCATTGTTATCATTAGTGAATATATAAAATAATGGAAATAAATATAATTTTTACTGCAAGCTGTTACAATTGTACTTTCGTATAATCTTTTACGAGCTAATTAGGGTTGATGTATTTTGTTACTATAAGTTTATTAAATTACCATTATTATACATATTTGTGAGTTAATATATATTTTTACTATAAAAACACCTACATTGTTTATTAATCATAATTTTGTAATTATATTACCATTATTAATGTTGTTATTTAATTAATATTGTTAAAAATTGAATATGTTTGTCATCCTGAAATTGATATTTGTGGGCATTATGGCTGTAAGCAATAAAATTATTATTATTATTGTTATTATTATTATTATTATTAAGAACCCTCGGTTAAATGCACAAACAATTTAAGGAAACTGACGCCTTTTCCCCGACCTTTCCTCTCTTTTCTCATCAAAGGCTACATTACCTACAATACCTATGTAAACTAAACAATATTAATGAATATTGAATATGTGTAATGGATGGTAAAGGTCCAAAGGAAAGGAATAAATTTGTAGATAGAAAATAATGTATCTCAAAGCCAATTCCATTGCTTATGTGAGTACTCTATGGAACAGTTTTTCTTCTCTCCTTCTTCAGTGTCCTCTCGAATAACTCTAATGACTCAGGGGATATCCTGGAATGAGTACCGGCAAGTCGTTACTGACATTTTTATATCTACATGCTGAAGATAATAATCGTAATTCAATTATTTTATTTATTGAATTATTTTATTACATTGGATTCGTTTTCAGCTGCGAGGCAGATTAGACCTATACTCATACCGTAGCTATTTTACACCGCACAGAATTTTGTTAGCCTATTTGAAAATTATAATTTTTGCAATGGAGACCCATATCCAATCATACAGGGTCTGATATCGGATATCTTCGTGCAACCTGAAACAAAGGAAATAATTCCAAAATTATAAATATGTCGCTCTTTTTATCTTCTCGTGTGCGCACGTATATATGGAGCAATATATGTAGTATATAGAAAGTTACGTAATGATGCAGTGAAAAGTGGTGTTTTTCTAAAGAAAACCTCGTTTTTTTGGTGTTTTACACCGCAAAAGTTTCAGAATCAACGTTTTGTGGTTCCTTGATTACGAAAAAATTGTTTTGGCAAATCGTCTCACTGCCCATCCGTTAATCCGTTCTTCTGTGAATAAGGGATAATGAATAACGTAATTATAGCGCCTAAGCCATTCCCAGTATATTTTCCAAAATGAAGAGTCCCCAATTGAACTGACCCTCGTTTGCATTTTTTTGAGTGATAGGTGAAGGGCTTGTAGGATAGAAGGTGCATTATAATAATACGTACCGTCACCAACAATGCAAGAAAGTATGTGTTGTAAAGTACCACTAATTTGAATTTGCTTTACAATGTATTTAATTGAAATAAACTAATTACATTTTCGACAAATATCTCTTAAAACGCAAATTAGATGTCTATCTAATGTTTTCCAAAGTGTTAAGTTAGACATACAGCTTCAAATAGTTCAAAATTTAAGTATTAGAAAAGTCCTAAGACCAATACAAAGTCAAAAGTAATGTTTAATAATTTGCAAAAAAATATATTTGGGACCTAAACCAGCTTTTGATATTATGTTTACACCTGAATATAATAATTAAAACCTACATGTATGAAAATTCGATATAGAAAACATATGATGATGCTCAAAACTCCGAAGGTCTATTTGTCAAAAGCACCACTGCATCCTTCTAGCACTGGAGTAGCGGATTATATCAAATGGTTTTCCTCATTTGTGTTATTGGGCTGTGTCGCTCAAACTTTTCCTTAATACCTTTTTATAAGAAATAATTTAAATAAGGAATATGATTTTTTTAATAAATGTACTCATACGACGTCTTTAGTTACAAGTCATTTGTTTCGATTGTGCTTGACAGTCGACGAACAGTTAAAACCTAAATGTACACCCACCATTAAGAGAGGGTTTTCGTTCATTTGTTTGGATACGTTAAATGGATGTTACAACACTACAGTATTATGAACATCCTAGTGGTGCTAAAACAGCACGTACTTTCTCGCCCGTACATTCACGCAAAAATTACTCAAATTTTGCAAAAATTGTTCAGGACCTTATTTCAAAATCTATCCCTAAGGAACAGATTTCATTAAGGGAAAAAACTATCTTTAATATTTTAGTTGTAGAAAAAAGTCTAAAATATTTTGAATTTTTGCAATTTTCGAAAAATCAGACATTTTAAGGAAATAAGACCTGCACTATTCTCTAATATGTTATTCACATTGTCCAACAACAAAATGAAATCAAAATTGATGGAGCTATATGTTCTAATTTGGAAAATGTCCCAAGGTAATTAATCAAAATAAATCCTCAAAATTAAAATATAGGCTTCAATTGAAGGGGGCTCGACATCAGCCAGATCTGTTGGAAATATAAATTTTGAAAAGACGTTTTGCCGCCATTCGATTTTATGGTATCAAGGACCCACAAAACAGAGATTCTGGCTATACCCCAAGCGCTAGAGGATATTTCTTCGAAATTTTGCAACAGGATTTATCCCTTTTTTCGATGCCAGTGCCCTTTAATAAGTTTTCCTGACGAAAAATCACCGTTTTTTGGTGCAGCATTACATAACGTTCTCTCCACTGCGTAGCGAGAAAGTAAAAGTGTTGAGGGCGACCGGCCCTGGCGACGCGCACCTGCGAGGGCGAGGGTGTGGTCCAACTCCCGGCGCAGGATGCGGAGCACCTGGCGTGCGCCGGCCTCGCCCGCCGCCGCCAGCCCCCACAGCAGCGGCCGGCCCGCGAACACGGCCCTCGCGCCGCCCGCCAGCGCCTTGAAGACGTCGCCGCCCTGCCGCACGCCGCCGTCCAGGAACACCTCGCAGCGCCCGCCCACCGCTCGCGCCACCGCGGGCAGCGCCTCCATCTGCCACATGCGCGAGCCTCGGTCTCCAGCAGAAGGGCTTGTCTCGTTACTGAAGAGGTCTTTATTATATAGATATTTTACTATATGTCTTTAGTGCCTCCACCTGTGACACGCGCGAGCCTCGGTCTCGTGCAGAGGGGCTTGTCCCGTTACTATAGAGGTCTTTGTTATATAGGTCTTTTACTATATGGGTCTTTAGTGCCTCCATCTATAACAAGCGCGACCCTCGGTCTCAAGCAAAGGGACTTGTCTCGTTACTTCAGAGGTCTCTATTATGTAGGTCTTTTACTATATGGGTCTTTAGTGCCTCCACCTGTGACACGCGCGAGCCTCGGTTTGGGGTGAAGGGGCATAGCTCGTTGCTATTGGTCTTTGTTATATAGTTCTTATTCATGAAAGGCTTGAAACTGTAACAATGCGAGTCGAAAATGAATATATTAACATCTACGAATGTTGGTGTCCATGAGGCGACGGGGCGGGACGCTGATTTGTCGGGTTCTGCCACTCTGCTCCTTTAATATGTGAAGGGATGATGTTCAGTAACAAAAAACCACAGCAAGTGTCCTGTTATTTATAAATATTAAAATATTGGTTTTGATCACAGAATGGATTATTTTGTTAGTTTTTAAGTCTTATTCTTGATGGACTTGGGGAGCGTGAATCACACTTCTCGAAAATAGAGTCAACAATATGCGAAACACTTCCACTGAAATAGACAGTATTAAGATCAACGATTATTGGTGAATATGACGCGATGGGAGGTGACGCGGTGTTGTCTGACTCTGTCGCTCTTCTCCTTCAATGTGCAATAAAAAGATAGGTCACACCAGGCACAGCAAGTCTCTCGCTATTCATTAATGTAAATATCTTCATTTTGATAGAAAGGAGTCGCATATTCTTACTACTCTTCGCCTTCATATGCGAATGAGACATACAGGTTATAGGAGTCGTTTCAGGTAGAAAAAATTCACGACTTCGTTCTTCTCAATTTAATAAATAATTGTTTCTAATGTCATATCTCGTTACGGCACAGCAGTTCTTCACGATTTCACATTTTCTATAACGTTCAGAAGGCTGGACTTTTGAAAAGAGTTTGAAGCTTTCGGATAGTTCTATTGCAAACGTTTTTTTTCTGATACAAACGAAGAAAGACGTTCGTAAATTGTGGGAGTTTTACGCGCCCGGCCCTGCAATCGTGCCTGAATTTAGGCCGTTATAATCTTAGCCCGCCAGTCTATCAGAATTGCCGGGCCTCACTATTCGTTAACAACGCTTATGACCTTTTGAGACTAAAACAGCACAGAGTTTTGGTAACACGCCTAAAGTTGCGATGTTCGTACAAGCTGCGCCGAAATCGAAAAGTTACAAAAGTCTCTCGGTGGGAATATATGGTTCTGAGTTAACAGTTAAGAAACTATTTACTCCCATTATTATTATGATAAACGCTTTGGATTTTTACACCTAAAGTGATTCACCTGTTCATAGTAACACAATAAGACACACTTTACCCAAATCGACGTATCAACAATTTTTAATAGGGGAGACATGTGTCGCAATTGTGGCTTAGCTTGCTTCTGTCTCAATCCCTGTTTTTTTATTTTGACATGAAATGTCTAGTTTCGGTAGGTTCAGTAGTTCCGTAGTTTCAGTGGCAGGTGGGGATTGGTTGGTAACATTGTAAGAAACAATTTTACACAATCACTTGCTGCGCACTTGCGATTACATCGCACGAATTAACTGTGGGAAAGTGCAACATATTCACTACACAGAAAATCGACCCCCGCCCCCAAAAATGTTTCATCACGTTGACATGCATGACTAATTAATAATAATAATAATAATAATAATAATAATAATAATAATAATAATAATAATGAGAGAATTTCACAATTTCACATTTCTGGAACAATACAATCACTATTTACTCTAAATATCAGTTAAGCATGTGTCTGAATATGTAATTGAAATATTTTTTATCAAGATATTAATATTTATCAAGATTTGGATATGTATGTTGCTGTTGACTGTAGCAGAAGATTTTGTGTGATTTTGACCAACAGCATTTTTGTTGCTGCAGTCCAGTAGTTGCATTGTTGTTATTGACCTATATAATAAATGTGAGAGCGTCTGCATCTGCCGTGCTTTTACCGGCGCTAAGGTGCCGTCAATCTGGCGAGCTCCGTGATTGGACACTTGGATACCCTGTACGCCCAAATCAGCCGCAATCTTGGCATCCTCTTCCGTCAATATCCCTTTCAGAACGATAGGTAGATTTGTAGATCTAGGAGCGAAACGTAAATATAATTACTCACGTAACTTAATGAAAGTAAACCTCACTTTTTTCAGCGACTTTACCTTTTCAACCACTTGACATCTTCCCATGTCACCGATTGATCGAAGAGATTTGCGACATAATCGTTGATGCTGGACCCAGAGGTAGTGTCATTTACATTAGTTGATAAATGACCATCGAAATTGGCCAACCTGTAAATTTAAAGCAGTGTAGTTGGAAAGCATTCCGAGCTTGGCTCCCGCATGAAAGGAGTGGGGACTTACCGTAGGTGCGATGGCAGCACGAATTTGTTGCGCAGATCCGCCAACCGAATGCCGAACACGGGAGCATCGACTGTCAGGACGATGGCCTTGAAGCCGGCCTTTTCTGCTCTCTGAACCAGATCCATTGTCACTTTCCTAAAGGGAAAAGGTAGAAATTAAACTTGGAGGAGAGGTGACAGTTGGTGGGTGGTGAATTACGAAGGGTGGCATGTATATCGGAACAAAAGAGTCATTTTTGTCTCTTCAGAATATTTCTTGAACGAGGGCAAGTTATACCAAGTAATAAAATAGCAAGCAACGACATTTAAATCCTTGTCTAAGACAACTTTTACGTTGATAACAAGAAAAACAATCGTGCTCCCAAAAAGGAGTTTTAATATTGGCAGCAAAAGAAAGTGTTGTTTTCGAAATCAAATAAAAGACACACACTAATTATCACACTTGTTCTCTTTCTATGCGCATATTATCATCCTGTAAACAAACTGTATTACTGTATCTTGTACTAAATCTGTAAAACTGATAAAAATGGTACCTCACTTGAACAACAGTTCCAAGAATTTGTTTCACACTACTTCTCTTTTTATATGATAGAGTATTATTTCTATATGTAGTAGGGTATTTGTTGCTTTACATACTGCCTCATCGTGTTTGTGGATGTACATGAAACTACTGTTTTATCAGATGTTTTAGTTTGGTTTTGTTCATTCTTCTCTAGAGATTTCTTTGTATGCCAATTCGTACACGAATTATTGCTACTACTCTTTTTTTTTTTTTTTTGCATATTATCATCACGTAAAAAGTCTGTATTGCTGTACCTTGTACTGAATCTGTAAAACTTCCATTAATCATGTTTGTGTTGTAATGAATAGTTTTTCAGTCGGGGTCTTTGCCCTATAAAACACAAGCTGCTTCCAACCAACCACCAACATTCCCCACTCTACCGCATGCACCAATTACCTAGCACGCGGCGGTCGGGACGGCGACGAAATAAGCGAGTCTGCTATACTTCGATTAAAACACTCCCTTTCCAGGTTTACGAGCTGAAGAGCAAGAAGGACAGTCAGCCAATTGGAAGCTTCAATACCAGAAATTTAAATTGTAATGAAACTCGCGATGCGATGATCTCTACCTCCAACTCGTGACCTTGAAAGAACTTCCGGTTTTAATCGGAGTATAAACAGCCCACTCTGGAAACATTTGCTTTCACCGGCAAAATAAATTACGTTCGTCCTCGAAACTTGCGCTGGTGGTACACACAAATTAAACAAGTTTTTATAATGTGTGATTAAGACTCTTTGCTACTTTTCTCTGTATTAATTTTACTGTGGAGGGCGCTGGCCTATACTCCGATTTAAATGTAGTGTCCCTTCAGGTCACGAGCTGGAAGGGGAAAGGGACATTGTCATCCAATCGAGAGCGATGTTACGACTTACATTCTTGGTATTGAAGCTCGCGATTGGATGACAGTGTCTCCCTCTCATTCCAGCTCGCGATCTTCAAAAGACAATACATTAAATACGAGTATAGAGTTCTCTAGCATCTGCCACTGATGGTGACGAGGAAGGCGGGTGGTTTTGCGAGGGCTGTGATGCGATACTTCCTACCTTCATTAGTCACGGGTCGTGAAAATAATGCAGAAGCATGTAATGATGGCCAATAAAAATGTCGAAATGAAATGAGATTAGAAATCCAAACCAACCCAATTCCTACACAATTCCTTTGTCTCCTCGTCTGCTACTTTACAACTCCTCTCATTTTCGTTGTACGATGTGACGGTCAATGCACGCCACTATCTGAGCTACAAACCCACACATTACTGTTACTGGTAAGTACACAAATAAACTAATACATGGACAGATTGATTGCGAAAACGTGAGGGAAATTTCCCCTTCAAAAACAATGAAATTTCACGGACGTTAGTACAAAATGATTTCTGGCAATTACATAAAATGGAATTAAAACTTGCAGTATTTTTATAAACTTTGAACCCTCTAAATTTAGCCCGTGTAGCTGAGCCCGTGCAAAAACATCGAATTTAGTAAGAAATTGTTTTTATCGGTCACATGCGTTTTTAACCCTTGTTAATATTCAACCCTATAAGTTTGTTAAGGGCACTTGTACCTACCTGTATATTAAGAAATTTAAAATCATTAGAAACGGGTTTTAACATCCTTAGTAATCTAAATAAACAACCACTCATTCATCGCAAGTCAACATTATTACGAAAAATATCATATGGTAATTTACAAGACAAATAGTAATCAATCGTGCTTTAGATTTTGTTCAGGGATTAAATCTCGCGTGGCTTCCGCAGCTGCATCCACTATTTCTTGAGGTACAGACAAATTTTCAGGGTCCATCTTCCTCGAATCACGGTATACAAGTGTATTGTTGAAATAGATATATCGCAAGCAATACCCAACAATATCCATTATCGTGACGCAACAACGGAATTCATGTGTTTCATATCGCAGTAATGTCGTAAATATTTTCAAAATAATTGAGGTTTTATAAATCGATAAAATGCTGAGCATACAACGAAATGTTACAGTGTTATTACTGCCTCGTCCAAATTAAAAATCTCGACTCCGCTACTCTACGCCTCGATTTTTTACTTTTTATATCGGCAGTCATAACACTCATAACATTTCTAGTTATGTTAATAGCTATAAAAGTGAAAAATTCTTCGTAGTAGAAACCAACTTCAATCCATCAGTTCTTGAACTGAGCATTACAAAATTATAGGCTCGGCACTGTGTAAGGATAAACATAATATTGCTAAGCATTGAGATTAAACTGCACAGTCACACATCCCTTTAATTATATCATGAAAGATTATTTATTTTTTCTTTCAATTTAATTTTACACAGATTTCGTGTCTCTGCACTTTTATGAGAGAGAATTTACAGAGAATTTTGTGTCGAAAGTTTTTTCTCATAAATTATCAAATATGTCCACTAAAATATATAAAAAATAATATAAATATATCCATATA